ACACAGACAGCCTCTTCCCAATATGCGTTTTTGCAATTTGCATATATGCAAAAACGCATAAAAAGTTACCCAGGCTGTAATGCACCAGGTTTGCCGGTGCGATCATGTGTTTTTGCACCAGACTTGAAGTACTCAGATCGTTAACTGCGTGAATGGTTGTTGCTTTGCACCTACCTCGTGTGCCCTTTAGTGTAATTTGTTGTAAATTCTGCATAAAAGGAAATGCGCAATTTCCGTCTGGCATTTCTTGAGAATAATCCAGCTGTTTTAGCGACCAACTTTCCCGCAAAACTTTTATATGTCCTACATAAGAACTACGCATACCTGGAAGCTCAATTTGAAAGCTTTAAGTTGTATTTGGATATGAAACATCCTCTTAAAATTTCGCCCTCCCAGCTTTTCTGGTTACCGAATTAGCAATTTTTCGCGCTAAATGTTTCATGTGCCCGTATGTGAGAACCACGAACACCTATGAGCTGAATTTGAAATCTTTAGCTCACGTATGCGCAGAGCATATCCCTACAAAGCTCATCCGCCAAAGAATTTGCAAATGAAGCGACTGTACCTAAAAACCAGGCGTATGCAAATGATAATAATATTAAAACGGGAGAGTCGCACAGGTGGTGGGCACTCATTTCCACAGCTTCAGCTTTCTAGCTTTTCTGGCTGTCGAGTTGAAAGTGAATGACAAAAATTATATACACACAAACACATATACATACATTCTTCTTGCCAATATATCTTTTTGCACTTTCATATATGCAAAGATGCATGATATGCGTGGGAAACATCGAGCAAGTGTCCGCTTTGCACCACGGCAACGGCTGTTGTTACACTCCACCAGCTTTTGTTAACCACACGACATTCATCAGGGCTGTGATTAGAAGCAAACATGTAGATATATAAATAAGCAAAAATAGGTTAGCGAGTTTAAACACCTAATGGTCTGTGTGATCAGTTTTTTAAACTGTGTTCATACGAATAATGACTAAATGAAGCTATACGAATTTTCAGCATTTGTGGACAGACTCAGAAAGGGATATCAGTTGGCGAAAATGGCTGCTGAAGGGTACCAAACAGCGAAAACTATTGGCGAGGGTTACCAGGTACTTAAGAAGGTTGGAACAGCTGCTGGAGGCTACCAGGCAATAAAGAAAATTGGTGAGCAATTCAAGGAACGACAAAAAGCAGAGTGAGCGCGAAAATGTCCGTTAAACGAAGTACTGGATGGGTTTGATCAAGAAGTGATTATTGCTGTACTAGCTATTGTTTGTTGTCTGATTACAGTGACCATCCGTCGGCCTCAACTTTTTTTAATGTTTATTCCTGCCATTATTAATAGCAGAACAGAACGAGATAAATAAACTGAGTGCTCTTCTAACTCGTTTGGGCATACGAATTTGTATACTATGCAAAATCCTAGTAAACAGTCTCAAGGAAAATGGCCTTCAGAGGCGGCAGGAAATATCCGCTGCAAATTTGCGCCCTTGTCAAAAAATCATTGGCGACGCGCACTGGGCTGGCCCGTGCGATCATGCGTTTTTGCAATATTTCGCGCCGTAATGAGATAGCTCCGAAACGCAGTAGCCAGAAATTTGTGAAATACTGTTCCTCGAAGCCTGGAAAGTTAACTGTCTATGCGGTAGTTGGACAGGGAGCATTTTGCTGAAATTTCAGCTTTCCAAATCTTCTTCTTGAGTTAACAATTTTCCTGCCAAAAATATTCACGAGGCCGTACGTGACAGCCACGCATGCTTGAGGGACTGAGTTTGAAAAATTTAAGCCGTACATGAGCTGGGAACGTTCACTGAAAATTTCAGCCTCCGAGCTCTTCTGGTTCCCGAGTTATTCATTTCCACGCCAAAAACTTTCACGGGGCCTTAAGTGAAAAATACTTGCACTGAGAGACTGAATGTGATGAATTTAAATTGTACTTGAGCTGGGAACATTTCCTGAAAATTTCAGCCTTCCAGCTTTCTTGGTTCCTGAGTTAGCCATTTCCGCGCCAGAAACTTTCACTGGGCAATACATGAGTACCACACACAACTAGGGGCTGAATTTGGTTATTTTAAGTTGAACATGTGTCGGGAATATTCCCTGAAAATTTCAGCTCCTCCGTTTTCCTGATTCCCAAGTCAGCGATTTTCATGCCAGGAATCCTTACGGGGCCATACGCGGGAACGACGCACGCCTGGAGACTGAATTTGAAATCTTTGAGTTCCATGAAGGTGGGGGACGTAATCCCCAAAATTTGAGCTTTTCTGGTTCCCAAGTTAGCGATTTTTCCGACAAAACTTCCACCCCCTCGTACGCGGGGCTCAGACTTGCGTGAGGGTTGATATCGCGGTCCTGGGGTGGCACTTATTCGGGGAACCCACCAGCAAATTTTGGCGCAGGATCTTGCTTGGGTGTCGAGTTAAAATATACGGACAGG